AGACGTGTGTTTATGAGTTATATTTAGTAATTACTAAGACGTGTGTTTATAAGATATATTTAGTAATTACTAAGACGTGTGTTTATAAGATATATTTAGTAATTACTAAGACGTGTGTTTATAAGATATATTTAGTAATTACTAAGACGTGTTGTTTATGATGTTTCTCTTGCACTTTAATAATAATAAAAAAGCTTATAACATTAATCGTCTACTCGGCCAGGTTGTGTAAAATATAAGATGTCGAATGTTTCGGCCAGACAACCTTCCTCGGGCTTCACAAAGGTCGTTATGACTCTAAGATTAGTAATTATCATTTTAATTCACGTTTTTGGAGTCAGTAAACTTGTTCTACTAGTCTAGGGTTGTTGCTGGGTGTTTTTAGTCACTGTTGGGCTCTCGAGTTTGGAAAATTACCCCCCCTTAAGCCTTGAACAAGAATATTTCACCAAGGAGCTGACCACCTTACCTCTTTGGAATGGTAAAGGAAGGCATGACGAATTTTAGTGGAACGAATGTTTCGGTTCAGAAAAACTGTGTTTATTCATCAGAAAACCAAGCTCTACATCTGTGTTCATGTTAGACCAGGCCGGTAGGTGGAGGGGATCGTGCTTTACAGATAAAACTGAACGTATTTAGGAATTTGCAGTCCAAGAACTGATATTTAGTTCAATTCTAGAAAATTGCTACTCTTTACAACTTCATCACATATGGCTTGGAAAACTTTCTCCGCTGTTTCAATATATTATTTTCTTCTTGTTTAATAATACAATTGACACTACATTGAAACGTAAACTGCTGTAGCTAAAGTGTCTCGTTACGTATGAGAAGATAAATGCTGAAAGTTGTATTCAAAACTAACTCGTATCCCATGTTTCAAGACGTGTAACTTTTGAAATAAAAACTTTTTCAACACCAATGTCACGCATAATGTTCTTAACTATTTTACCGTGACTAACAACTGGTCCAGTCTCCAGATTCTCCATAAAAAAGCAAACAAACATGTCTTACGTACAATAATTACCTATGCTTCAATGGTTGGATCTTTTGAACTAAATATTTTTCTAACACCATATTCATACAAAATTTTCTTAAGAGATGTTTAATTATTTCATACTTGGCTAACAACGGGTACAGTTTCCAGGTTCTCCGTAAAAAAAACAAAAACAAAAAGTAAAAAAGAAAGCTAACATGTTTCACATATAACAATGATCAATGTTTCAAATCTTGAAACTTGGAACGAAATAATTTTCCAATACTAAGCTCACGCATAAGAATCATAATATACGGGAAATTCACTTAGTTAGCTCATGCCGAATCTCCAGTTATTTTGCGGACCTATCTTATTCACTTTTGGGAGAATTCGACATTCATAGTTTCCAAGTAACAACCAACGAAGGCTCTTGTTTGTTTTAAACCAAAGACACATTGAGCTATCTGCTGTGTCCACCGCGGATAATCGAAGCACATATATATATATTAGCGTTGTAAGTCGTAGACTTATCGCTGTCCCACCGGGGGATAACACTGAAGGATAGGACATTATTGTGCGTAAGATGACGTGTTTGTTGTTTATGGAGATTATACAAGTTATTAGCCATGTGTGACATAATTATGCGTGAGTTTTTAGTTCCAATGTTAAGATAATGGAAACAAAAAACTCGAATTTGTTGTGGACACCATTGTTTACAGCTAAGAAAATGTCAGCATTTTATCTTCTCGTATGTAACAAGAAGAGAAGGGAGCTTCAGCGACGTATGAAACTTTTAAAGAGGGCGAAATTTCTTCTCCAAGCAATACCCTAAACACTTTTTATTTATCGAAACTTGTTCTATTGTTAAGGTTTTTATTTATTGATACATTTTCTGAAAACAATGAAAGTATATCAGTATATAAAAATTACAACGTCTCCAGAAAGTATATCAATATATATAAAGTATAACAATGTCCCCTGAAAGTATATCAATATATAAAGTACGTCTCCAGAAAATATATCAACATATAAAAACTACAATACGTTTTCAAACTTAAAAACAAAGACTATTTCCAGCACAAGTAACAATGCATAAAAATAATAATTGGAGTCACCGTTGAAGTTTTTATATATTGATATACTTTCAGAAAACATTGTTGTACTTTATATATACAGATATTCTTTCTGGAGACATTGTTGTAATTTATGTATTGATATACCTTAAGGGGACACTTATGTAGCTTATATATTGATATACCTTAAGCTGGACGACTTATGTAGCTTATATATTGATATACTTTCAGAAAACATTATTGTAGTTTTAACTTATTGATATACTTTGAGGAGATATTGTTGCAGTTTATATAATGATATACTTTTCGAGACACTGCTGTATTTTTTATATATTGATATACTTTCAGGGGACACTTATGTAGCTTATATATTGATATACTTTCAGGGGACACTTATGTAGCTTATATATTGATATACTTTCAGGGGACACTTATGTAGCTTATATATTGATATACTTTCAGGGGACACTTATGTGGCTTATATATTGATATACTTTCAGGGGATACTTATATAGCTTATATATTGATATACTTTCGGGGGCACTTATGTAGCTTATATATTGATATACTTTCGGGGGACACTTGTGTAGCTTGTATATTGATATACTTGCTGGAGATATTGTAGTTTTTATATATTGATATACTTTCAGGGGACACTGTTGTAGTATTTAAATATTGATATATTTCAGAGGACTTCGTTGTAGTTTTCACTTATTGATATACTTTTAAGAGACACCTTTATATTAGGTCGTCAAGAAACTAATGTCGCGTTTTGGAACACTTTCATTAACCACTCCCCCCAAAAAAACGTACATCAGGTATAATAGTTAAACAAACCGCCTAAACGTCACGTTACTGTAGCCTATATAATGAGTAAAGTTTATAGTGATGGCACACGACGAGACAGACATTCGGTCATGTAATGCTGTTTGAATACAAGAA